GAGCGCTTTACAAGAAGACCACCTGTCTGGATGTCATGGAAGTAAGAAGTTAACTTTATTTTAACAAGGGTTAATTCACGCAAGTTTTCAAATCAATTTGATTGATTTAGCGTGTGTGAATTACTCCATTTACATCATCCCCATGTCCATTGGAATTCTGCTGTCAGTCAGTGTCTGAAGAAAGTTTGTGTACGAAACTGATGAGTGATGTAAGTATTACTAGCCTATTACATATTTTCTTTAGAGAAGTGGACAGGCTTTCGCCTACATCCAGTCCACTTCTCTAAAGAGAATAGCCTATTACACTGTATTAGCATGCTATGAATTTAATTGGGGGTTATTTCTGGGAAAATGGAATCAGGGTGCTGTATGTGGTAGATATTACCACATAGAGACTGGAGATTTTTGGGGTGTATACATGGTCAAAAATGAAATTTTTATCACGTTTATTAGTTTACTGTCTTACCCAAGGGAGGAGAAATATGTTTTGGCATGGAATATTTTCCCCACAAGTTGCAACTTTGTCAAATGCAACTGAGATCTATCAGTTAGATCATAATGACACATTGTGCCTGTCTAAGGTTAATCAAGTTCAAGTTCATTGTATATTTATGAATTTAATAAAAGTCAGTCATTGGGAATAAATTCAAAAAAATTAAGCCCCAAATGGGAGAGGGGGATGTACTTTTATGGGGTACTCACAAGGGTGGATCTGTTCAACTGCTGCAGTGGTATGAATGTGAAATCTCTATTTTTCTTTTTTTTAAAAACTGTGTGAACCAAAAATTATCACATCAAAAACAAAGAACCAATCATACGATATGTATGGAAATACCTTATTATGGAATCTTAATTTATTTTTCTGTATCATGTGAATAATTCATACCTGGTGAGATGTTATTATAATAGTATTTGGATTAAATGATCAGGAATTTTGGTGCTCTCTGATTGGTATAGACACCATTTCCTGAGACGTACCTCGATCAGAGTGACTTCACCTCATATGTCTACATTCGGGGGGGGGTTGGTTATTCATGTTTTTTCCTCTTGATCAACCATAGATGTGTTTACAGTTTTTTGACCAATCAGATTGCGTGTTTTTAAGCATGTGTTGGTGTGAATGTAAACATGTCAGACGCCAGTACCAAGGAGATTAAACACTTTTGATAATAAAATAAAATGGTTGAGTATTGATTGTTTAATAATATTGTTTTCCATTTTTAGCTAGTAGTTGTTATAAGCTATTGAAGTATAACAACATGTGAAAGTTTTGTTACACTTTGCATTTTATTATGAGTGTTTTTATTTGATGTAGACAAGAACGAAAATGTCAAAAGTGTGGTAAAATTCCTGATCATTTAATAAAACGGTTATTGACTTCGGCCTCGGTCAACCAATACCTGACCAGGTCTGTATAGTCACGAGTAGACCTTATCAAAATTCAATAATTGTATAATATGACATATTACGTCAAATATGAAAGCCCTATCATATGTCATTGAAGAGTTAATTCAATGTAGCACCATTTTTTTAATTAGGTCAAACATGAAGGTAAATATCAAGGGGTCAGAAATCATAGCATGTTCAGAAATATAATGCCACAGTTAATGCACATGCATAATATGAAATCCCTATCTCTTCTAAATAAAAAGTACCATGGAAGACTGATTATTTTTGAAAAGTAGGTCATACTTCAAGGTCAAGGTATCATGGACAAAATCATAATTAAATACATACATGTACTAGTTCATTAAGAAAGGAATTGCCTCAGGTAATGCATGTATAATCTGAACATTTCGAAAGCCCTATCTCATCTCATTCAAAAGTTTTGACCAAGGTTTTAAGTTTTTGTGACAGATGAACAGACCAACAGACTTACAGATGACAGATGAATATTAAGATACAATTAATAAACTCTTTGTATTCGCTAAAGTGGAGGACAAAAATCAAGAGAACCATACACTAAAAGGGATTGACTGATCTTGACATGATGATGCAATGCTTTCTATAAAAATTTAGGTCTTCTTTTAATTAATTAACAATAATTTATATTTAGAAAGTCTAAGTAAATTCATAAGAAAAAAAAAATCAAGTTTGACATGCATGTAGATCTATTTCAATGAAAAAAGCGATATTGATCAATATCGCCTGACTGCACCATGCAGGATGAAAATTCAGTTTTCTTATAAGGTCATACCCAACATATTTTGTTTTGTTATATAGTTTGAACTTTATTAGGTTCTTCCCTGGAGTTTAAGAGTGAGTCTACACAAAAATGACTTTCATATATAAATGTAAATATAAATTCTAATATTAATTATAATGAACATAATTTATGTAAAACCTTAATTGATTTGTTATCCAATGTAGTTTTAATAGTCGAGCTGGTGGATGTGATCATGGTGATAAATTTCAAAAACTTACTAGTAGTAAATAAAGTACCGTAGTATATCTATGAATGCTTTTATAAAAATGTTGTCTTATTTCATCATGTTCATTGTACCTGTTTTTTGTTTGTTTGTTTTTTTTTGTTGCTGATATTAGAAACATACAGATGCAATTAAATTTCATTCTTATTGTTATTCTAATTCATTCTAATGATTATTGCAAATTTATTTCAAACATTTAGGTAATTTTTCTTTGTGTGATATAAAGTGATGGATCAAAGGCATGTATATTTTACCGATAAATGTTTTGATAGTTGTGGTGGATTCAAGGGGCGTGGATAGATATATTTTTAGATTTTTGTAATGAGTCAAAGGAATCAATAATGATCATGTGATGATTATGGTTAATTGATTTAAAACATTTAACTTATATTTTATATGTGATCAAAATCTAAACTTATAAGTGGTGGATCCAAGGGGGTGGATGTTAATCTTTTTAAAATATTTGTGGTGGATGCAGGATCAAATAATATTAATGATCAATGATTATGGTTAATTTATTTCAGACATCTAGCTTATATGTCATGTGTGATCATGATCTTAAATTTAAAGTGGTGGGTCCAAGGGGGGAGTGGATATTAATTAATGTTATATAATAGTTGTGGTTGATCCAAGGGGAGCTTCGAGTGGATATTACTTTTAAATATTTGTGGTGGGTAAAAGAATATTAATGATTATGGCTAATTGATTTCAAACATTAAGCTTTTATGTCATGTGTGATCGAGATCTAAACTTATAAGTGGTGGATCTATGGGGAGTGGATATTAATTTTATTTTGTTTAAATATTTGTTGTGGATCAAAGGATATACTGTAAATCATTATGGCTAATTGATTTCAACATTAAGCTTATATGTCATATGTGATCAAAATATAAACTTATAAGAGTTGGATCCTTGGGGAGTGGATATTAATTTTATTTTGTTTAAATTGTGGTGGATCAAAGAATATTAATGATTATGGCTCATATTGAGTTCAAACATTAGGCTCATAATTGTCATGTGTGATCGAGATCTAAACTTTTAAGTGGTGGATCCATGGGGAGTGTATATTAATTTTATTTTGTTTAAGTTTTTGTTGTGGATCAAAGGATATAAATGATTATGGGTAATTGATTTCAACATTAAGCTTACATATCATGTGTGATCAAGATCTAAAGTTATAAGTGGCGGATCCATGGGGAGTGGATATTTATTTTATTTTGTTTGAATTGTGGTGGATCAATTAAGGATATTAATAATTGAGTTTAAACATTAAGCTCATATGTCATGTGTGACAAAGATCTAAACTTGTAAGTGGTGGATCCATGGGGAGAATTTTAAACCCCACTGGGTTTTTGTGGGTTTTTTCATGGGGTAATTTTATGTACATGTTTCCCCATGGGGTTTTTATTTTCGACACTAAATATCTCAAACACTAGCAGAAAATGTTGCATTTTTTTATTTCAGAAATTCATTTAGGTAGAAAAATCCCACCATTTAAAAAAAATTCCTAGAGGATAGCTTCAAAGGAAAAGGGTGCACAAGTTCGGAAAAATGTCCATTCCGAAGTTGTCCGTCCCACTGTTCAATATTCATCTGTAAATTTTTTTTCAAAGTGATTCTTTCTTTGGACTATGTTGACACAATATAAGTTATATTGCTGATTTTTAGCTGTAGCTAAATGCAGTTGAATCAAATTCATATAGGAGAAGAAGAAATCCTATAGGAATTTAAAATTTCCTACAGGATATTTTTCTCCCTTAGGAGCAAGTAAATAATTCAAAAGTGAACAAATTTCCTACAGGAGTTTCTGACTGAAAAAGAGAATCCTACAGGAATTTAAGAAATCCTATGGGAAATATTTTTCCTAAGGGATTTTTTCTCTCTCCTATAGGAAATTGTATTCCTACAGGAGATTAAATTCTCCCATAGTAGTTTAATTTCCTGTAGGATTTCTTAAATATCCCACAGGAAATTAAGAAATCCTGCAGGATTTTGATAATATCCCTCAGGAATTTTATTTTTCCTATAGGAACTTTATTTTTCCCATGGGAATTTTTTGTTCAAAGGTGATTATCTCACCTGACAGGTGAGATTTACCTGTAACAAAGGTAGTTATGAACTCTGTGAGTGATGGTCTACCACTTGGTATACATGATTTTTATGTGAAATGAGGATTTGGCGGGCGCCAAAATGCCACTTTTGAAGTGGCATAATTATCCGGCACAGTGTTTATAGTTTACAAACGTGAATTATCAACAAATTCTGTTGTAAACGCTTTATTTTAGACAGATAAACTTAAATTAGCATTCGTAAACTATATTTAACAACCGTTAAAAATAGTTTTACAGATGAAAACTATATCATACGAATTGTTAACTATAGTTAACGGTTTGTAAACTATAGTTTACAGTCGATTAACCTAGTTCATCAACTGTGAAACTAGGTTTATCTCATTTTTGTCAATTTGGCGTGCCATAGGCATGATAGGTATCATTTTAAATTGTGAAACCGACATGATAATAACAAAGTGAATGTAGATTTTTTAATGTAGTGAATATTTGCACATAAATAATGGCGGATAATGATGACTGGCTGGTCGGGGCAGCATTAGATTTTGGAACCATGTACAGCGGATACGCATTTTCTTTCCGAGATTCTCCAAATGATATCCATACACCACAAACTTGGTATGCCGGATCTACCACGCTTGCCTCCTCGAAAACTCCAACTTGTCTACTTTTAAACCCAGACAAGACTTTCAACAGTTTTGGATATGAAGCACAGGACAAATATGCCGATTTGGCATCTGAGGAAAGACACAGAGAGTACCTTTACTTTGAACATTTCAAGATGACGCTGCACTACGAAAAAGTGAGCATTAATTTATATAAAGAAGAGGCAAAATGTGTATTATATATATATGTTACACTAAGTAACTGAGGGCTGTTCGGGAATTATTGAAACGCTGTGTATATTGAACGTCTAATGAATATCATTCGCTGAAGTTATGCATATACATGTACATTTGAAAAATATAAAGAATTTATAAAAGCAAGAAATAATTTACAAATATTAAATATCTTCTCTTCAATGGTATAGAAATATGTCAATGGTACGGATACTCTGCACAGTCACAAATTCAGATATTGAAAATATATATATTACGAACAATCTAAATGATGGACCCAAAATAATGAAAATAATTCAATTTATGTATTTGATTTTTTTAATTTTATTTTGACTTCATTTCGTGCAAGTTTGTTAGAATTCTGATCAGAAATACGGATATCATTTAAAAAAAAGATAGATTAATAAAGAAATCTAATAACGACGACGAATTTGACGTCAAGAGCAGCGAGAGACCTAAAATTTTGTTTAGCACTATGTAGAACTCTACCAGACTGAACAACCTGCTAAAACAATAAATACGAGTTTAAAACAATGTCTAACTAAGGGATCGTTATCTTATTGTTATTTTCGAACAGTTCTAGTATGTGAGATCAGAAATTTCATGTATTTCCTTAACCATTTAGTGAATACATATAATACTAATATAACTGGCTGTTCTAAGAAACATGTATAATAACTGAATAGACTAGGAATTTCATGTTTTTACTGAAAATTAAAGTTTAGTCAATTTTACTCGTTTTTACTATGCAGAATGACTATTTATGTTTTAAGATATTCCTTTTTATAGAAACCTGACACTCATCATTAATTATACCCCCCGCAAACGTATGTAGGAATCACCTTGTTCGTCTTCCGTCTGTCTGTCTAGCTGTCTGTCTGTCTGTGCAATCGTGTCCGGTCCATATCTTTCTTACAGAGGCACATTAGAATCTACTACTCCACACTAAGATTGCCCATGACCTAAGGGTGTGTCATTACCTTGACCCAAGGTCGTTTGGGTAAGTTCAAGGTCACTGGAAGAAAAATTTCATAATTCGTGTCCGGTCCATATCTTTCTTATGGATAAACTTGGTAGGTTCTCATTTCACACAGAGATTGCCCATGACCCAAGGGTGTGTCATGACCTTGACCCAAGGTCAATTGGGGAAGTTCAAGGTCACTGGAAGAAAAATTTCATAATTCGTGTCCGGTCCATATTTTTCTTATGGATAAACTTGGTAGGTTCTCATTTCACTCAAAGATTGCCCATGACCCAAGGGTGTGTCATGACCTTGACCAAAGGTCATTTGGGGAAATTCAAGGTCACTGGAAGAAAAATTTCATAATTTGTGTTTTATACATATCTTTATTAAGGAAAAACTTACTTCTGAAAAACCTAGCGGGGGTATTTTATCCCGTTAGGACAGTTCTAGTTTGTTTTTTTATGTAGAAAATTAATCAATTTGATGGTATTGTAACTAAGTGAAAAGACTAGATTGCTGTTTCTTCATTAAAACAGAAAAGAGATGTCGAAACAATTTTTTCCAAGTGCATTTATCATAATCTTTGGAGTAAAGTTTGCTCTCTAAATTTTTATTGTGTACAGCTTTGCATTTGATAGGTATTTTTCACAGCATCATCTAACATATTGAATTTGCCATTTCCTGTTCATTCTCGTTTTCCAATAATCATGTATTTAAGTGATTCACTTCAGTGTAAATTCGATGATTGTTCCATTTTTGTGTAAACAGCTAAATTGCAGTAAAACTTAAAGCTGTACACAGTGATTGTAGCATCTCATTTAAATATCAGTTCAAACTGAATTGTGCTTTTATCTGGAAATAAAAAATAGAACAGAACTGCCCATAATTCTTTGTATTCTACTTGATTTTTTTAATGCCCCTCTATGAATATTGCCGGGGCATATATTGTTTGTCATGTCCGTCTTCCGTCCTTCCGTCCTTCTGTCCTTCCGTCTTCCGTCACACTTTGCGTTTAGCTCCGTTCAAAGCTAAGTTTCAAAGAAACTATCCGAGATATTTTCATCAAACTTCATGTGCTGATAGATATTGATGAGAGCTATGCAACTGCATCAACATCAACATTTTTGACCCGACCTTTCCTTTGACCTTGATCTCACTTTATTTAAATTAGTGTTTAGCTCAGATTTAAACATACTTTTCAAGATGGTATTATCAAACTTCACATGTTGATACAAACATGCACAGATGTTGCATCTAGGGATGAACACTACCAGACTTGCTTCGGATGCTTGATCTGACCTACATTTTCCCTATGAGTGACCAGGTTAAAGTTTTTGGAGCAGGTCCATTCCTAAGGTACTATAAGCCCTACCCAAACCAAACTTGCATGGATGATGCATATAGAAATGGACACTACCAGACTTGCTTCGGATGCTGGATCTGACCTATATTTTCATTCCCAAGTAACTATAAACCCTGCGTAAACCAAACTTGCATGGATAATGCATCTAGGGATGGACACTACTAGACAGGCTTCAGATGCTGGATCTGACCTATATTTTCATTCCAAGTAACTATTAGCTCTGCCTGAACCAAACTTGCAAGGATGATGCATCTAGGGATGGACACTACCAGACTTGCTTCGGATGCTGGATCTGACCTATATTTTCATTCCCAAATAACTTTAAGCCCTACCTGAACCAAACTTGCATTGATGATGCATCTAGGGATGGACACTACCAGACTTGCTTCGGATGCTGGATCTGACCTATATTTTCATTCCCAAGTAACTATAAGCCCTACCTGAACCAAACTTGCAAGGATGATGCATCTAGGGATGGACACTACCAGACTTGCTTCAGATGCTGGATCTAATCTATATTTTCCAAACAAGCAATTCACCTGCATCACCATTCAAGATATTCTGATCAAATTTTATGCACATACAAATTTTCATGCTTTACTAATATATCCTCGGCGGGGCATTCATGTCCTATGGACATATTTCTAGTTGATTTTTGATTCTTGACCTCTTGACAAACTCGACCACTACACTGTCTTTCTAAATTTTCATTCTTTAAGCTAAGATTTCTTCTTCATTGAAGTACCAACATTAGATTCTTTACAATATACATTGTATATATTAAAGAGATATTTGGAAACAATAGATACAAAATCTTATGCGTGAAAAGAAGAAAACACTTGCTGTGGCCTTCAACTCGACATTTAGATATATCGACGACGTATTGTCAATTAATAATGATAATTTCCATTCCTACGTCGATACGATATATCCTGGTGAGCTTGAGATAAAAGATATCACAGAGTCCGACACTTCTGCTTCAAACTTGGATATTTTACTTGAAAAAGACACTAATGGTAATCTAACAACCAAGCTATATGATAAACGTGATGACTTTAAGTTTTCTATCGTCAACTTCCCTTATTTATGCAGCAATATACCTTCATCACCTGCATACGGAGTATATATATCTCAGTTGATTCGATACGCAAGAGCGTGCTCTACGTATGAACAATTTCTTAAACGAGGTAAATTATTGACAAGCAAGTTGATGAAACAATAATATCAACAGTCTCGTTTAAAGTCATCATTTCGTATATTCTATGGTCGATACAATGACCTTGTCAGCAAATGCAATTTATCATTGAGTCATATGCTGACTGACGTTTTTCATGCCAATTGTTAGTCCATTATTTATACACTGAATTGACGACGGATTTTTCCTGATTATGACAACGAGCACACGGCGGGTGTGACCGGTCGGCAGGGGATGCTCACTCCTCCATGGCACCTGATCCCACCTCTGATGTTTCAGAGGTCCGTGTTTGCTCTGCTCTTATTTTGTATATTGTTTGATGGACGTTGAGATTGAATACTGTTCGTTATCTCCATATCCTTCTTGTAAGATTCCAACGTGCGATGGGACTCCAAAGTCCGATGGTCACGCCAAAGTCCGATGATCTCCACCGAACCCCGATGGTTTGACACGCCAAAACTCGATGGTGCTGTTTGAAACAATTAAAATTTATGACGTCATAGTACTACTGCGCATAAATGCGATGCCGCGCCATGCCAAGGCCCGGTTGTTTTTTAAATTAAATAAATAAATAAAAATAAATATTAAATGCAAAGAATAACCCTAATTTTTGGATATAGGTGTAAGACTAACACTTATCAGTCGCAAAATGTATAACAACCATAAGCTAGATATCTTGGACTGGTGCAGGACTAACACAAGTCAGTCTGATAGTGTGATAGGACTAACCATAAAATCTCTCGGGTGAGTTTGAAGAAACACACCCTTATCAGTCGAATGGTGTACAAGGACTACCCTATTAGCTCTGGTGGTCGAAAACAATAATCAAAATCAGTAAAATTGTATGCGAGACAAATACTTAAATCAATGGATTTCGAATGCAGGACAACGTTATGACGTCGAACTACTGTGACATCATACACGTTGATTGTTCCTTCGCATCATCGGGCTTTGGCATATCAGACCATCACACTTAAGCGCAATGTGTCTCATAGGAAACGAGCCATCGTAGTTTGGCGTCTGTAAAGACAGTGAGCCATCAGACTTTGGAGTCTTACATTGTAATATATGAAAAATTTTATTTGTAAATGTTTTGATTTTGCTGTAAATAAATGGATAGTAGCACAGTGTGAATATATATGATAAACATGTAAAGAAAGAACTAAATGCGATATATTGCATATATTAGCCCCCACAAAAGTCAAATTTTGAAAAATTCTGGAAATGTGCTGAATTCTATAAATTGTATTAAAAAAATGAATGAACAGAACATATTATAATTTCAAAGTAGTTTATAGACTATTTTTGTTTTTATGACGTCACAAACTCGTCCGATTTTATAGCATTCGTTAGAAAAAGGACAAAATGGGCGAAATTTCAACAATTTTAGCTATAGAATTTGTAGAGCGCAAGTTTGTTCAGGAACGATATATCAAAATATTGATCCTGAACACACATGCGCTCGGTGATTTTTTCTCAAAAGATCGACGTAAAATATCTATTTTCTGTAGAAATAATGGAAATTTTAAATTTACGTCATTTTCGTGACGTCATTTGAAACATATGACGTCATTGCTGATGAAAATATTCAGTGCTTTGAAGTCAGCATATATCCCTCTGTGTTAGAACATAATTAGAAATTTATCTGTCTAAGTTTGATTTAGGGGTGGGGCAAAAATTGGTTATTTCCGAATAAAGTTCTTTCAGACTCGTGCGTGATTTTATTATATATATATATATATATATATATATATATATATATATATAGAAAGCACAGAGAAATTCACTTTTTACAAGGATACTCACTTCCGCCCCAGCCCGGGGTTGAACTCTCGACCTACGGAATCTGTCTCCTAGCAATGCAGAACAGCGCGTTAGACCGCTCGGCTATCTAGGCAAGTAAAAAAACTTGCTTTCGATGCCGATGGAATTCTCACAACGCTGCCCTACACTACACGGTCATTGAGAATGGAAGTGAGATACAGTTATTTGGACATTAGTTTTTAGAGGATTGTTACCAATACATGTTGTGATGAAATTAATTTTATTTATAAAGCACAAATTACAACAACTCTTAAACTAATATAACTGCCCTAAGTGAAGAAATATTAATATAGAAAGCACAGAGAAATTCACTTTTACAAGGATACTCACTTCCGCCCCAGCCCGGGGTTGAACTCTCGACCTACGGAATCTGTCTCCTAGCAATGCAGAACAGCGCGTTAGACCGCTCGGCTATCTAGGCAAGTTAAAAAACTTGCTTTCGATGCCGATGGAATTCTCACAACGCTGCCCTACACTACACGGTCATTGAGAATGGAAGTGAGATACAGTTATTTGGACATTGGTTTTTAGAGGATTGTTACCAATACATGTTGTGATGAAATTAATTTTATTTATAAAGCACAAATTACAACAACTCTTAAACTAATATAACTGCCCTAAGTGAAGAAATATTAATATAGAAAGCACAGAGAAATTCACTTTTACAAGGATACTCACTTCCGCCCCAGCCCGGGGTTGAACTCTCGACCTACGGAATCTGTCTCCTAGCAATGCAGAACAGCGCGTTAGACCGCTCGGCTATCTAGGCAAGTTAAAAAACTTGCTTTCGATGCCGATGGAATTCTCACAACGCTGCCCTACACTACACGGTCATTGAGAATGGAAGTGAGATACAGTTATTTGGACATTAGTTTTTAGAGGATTGTTACCAATACATGTTGTGATGAAATTAATTTTATTTATAAAGCACAAATTACAACAACTCTTAAACTAATATAACTGCCCTAAGTGAAGAAATATTAATATAGAAAGCACAGAGAAGTTCACCTTTTACAAGGATACTCACTTCCGCCCCAGCCCGGGGTTGAACTCTCGACCTACGGAATCTGTCTCCTAGCAATGTATAAATAAATAAATAAATAAATATATATATATATATTTTCACCCCATAATTATTTCAACAATCTTGGACTTTTATATATTAAAAACTTGCATTTCAGTTCAATTTTTTTTTACCTTGATACATGTATATATCTATTTCTTAATTATTAATGTATTTTATTTTAGTAAATAATTTTTTTTTTAAATGTTTAATGTTTTTCTGACCCTTTTGACATGTTTAAGATGCAGTGTATTCACAGTATATAGTACAAGTATGTAATTAGCAAATTAAAATCAAATTACATTCTCTGTGAAAAAAAAATGCAAAAAAGAGATGAAAAAGTCATTAAGAATAAATTAGAACTAATATTGAAAACTGAAACGATATTTCAAACGCATAAATTTTAAACATTCCTTAAATAAAACAAAATATAGCATACCTTCCTTATACTTCATTTTGCATTTAAAGTTTGACAGAAATATCATTTTGATACCAAGTAAAGAGCTTCTCAGTGAAAGCCTTCTTTTATCATTAACCATTTTGATTTAAAGTGAATCCATTAAACAAACAAGTTATCCTACTCGCTAGATTCCAATGAGTAAAGTAAATATTGAATTTATACTGTGAATCTGTTCATATATATCTCATTCATATTAACTGAAAACAGTAAATACAAGTATTTTCTAAGCAGTACTGTAAAAGAAATTCATGTACATGTATTTCCTTAAAGTCAGGAAATACACGATATTTCTGACATAGACATACACACATACTTTAGATGTGACATTTCGTTATATATTTATACATAAAATATTTTATATTTTCAATGCTTTGTTTTCTTACAATTAAGTTTTCATTGATGATCAATTAGATTTAGACATTTGTTAACAATTTTCAGCATTTGTCCAGAAAAACAACACTGGATGACATATTAGGGAAGACAATTCCAGCCATGGACGTTTTTTCCATGTCGATAAAATTCTTAAAAAATCATGTAATGAAGACCTTAATAGATAGATTACCTACTATAATTCTGTCTGATGTAAGATTTGTACTGACCGTACCAGCGATTTGGACGGATTCAGCAAAGGAGTTTATGCGTGAAGCTGCAGAAATGGTAAAATTTCAAATTAAATTATTTTTAAAATATTATCTTTTTCAATAGATTTATTTATTAAGTTTTTTTTATATGATTTCCCTTAATAGTAAGGGTTTGTATAACAATTTTTTAATCTATGTCGACTCCCTTTAGTTTTTTTTAAAGAAATATATAAAAGACAAGCGGGGCTTTTCGATCGTCAATACCGGTTTCTTACGAGTATGTTCTATGGGACTTGTTTTCCAATTAAATTGTGTGTTGTTTTCAGAAAATAACCATAGCTCGAATGATGTTGCATTTCCCGTTAGTCCTTGTCTAAAAGACTAATGTATGTAATCATTTGTGGACCTGTGTTATATTTTCATAGTTGCATGTTTCTTACATGACAATCATTTTACTTGTTCAATACTCTTATTATAAACAAGATTTTTAGAAAATTTTTAAAATACAACAAGCAAGCAGCTATGACTTTGGGTCATTTAAATACGGAGACGTTTATAACTGTTTTTCCCCGAGATACTTCCAAGGTATAATGTTGTATTTGTATTATCTATCTCTTACATTATTTATACATGTTTTATGAAATAAATAAAAGAAAACAGAGAAAAAATGCACAGAGAGAAAAAAATCAAAAATATTTATCATGCACTGTGAGACTCGAACTCACGATTATTATATCGACAATCCAGCAATCATACCACTACGCCACAAAGTCCTTGTAATCGTATGGATAAATTTTTAAAGACAGATTTTTAAAATTACAATTATTTAAATTTAGATTTAAGATGACACGAACATTGTAGCATGAACCCAGACAAGCACTTGAACTCTGATTGGCTTTAAAAAAAAATATCAATAGCTTTGTTTGTTTTTTGACAAAATTTATGGAATTAAACAAAATTGTCATTACGGAAGGATGTCCTATAATATGATATATATATATATTTTTTTTCATAAAATCGCGCACATGCAAATGTGCTGCGATCCGATTAAACTTTAAATGGCTATAACTCGCTCGCTCGGTTTTCAACGAAACAAGACGAAATGTAGAACAGAGATTGACATACTAGAATCCTTTGTTATGCTACTTTCAAATTGAATGCAAGAACATGCATGCACGTGCGCTGGCCTTGAATTGACTAATACTTATTTTTCCATATATCTCAAAGATTTCAACAAAAAAACTTTGAGATTTTACACATAAGTATCTATTTTATAATATATACTAACATATGTAAATTTGAAATATCAACAAACAAGGGACGCAAAATAGGATTGGCTACTATCCAAAGGAGTGTATAGGTGTTGAATTAAAATTATGTATGTTTATTGAACTACAGAATGGCCATGGGGGAGTTGGGGAGCGTCTGGGAAAATCTGAAAAGGTCCCGTTACAATTCTATCTATGCCTCAAATGTATTGAATGTGGGGCTTATTTTGGTCGAAGAACTAAAAATATTTTGAATACAGTACCAACCAGACCGAACCTGATAACCAAGCAGTCTCAGAAAGTAGTTCCTGATAGTGCTATATGGAACTGCTGTGGGACAACACTGAGAACCCTGTAGGACCTCTCTTGGACCGCTGTGAGACATTTCTGTTTGATTCACTCATGCATAAAAATTGTTCTATAAGGCATTATAGCTCTGTACTTCGTGCATCCTTAATTTGTAGCTTCCCTGTGCTAGTTTTGTTTACTTTCACCAGAGAGATTGTTAAGATTAAAAGAAAAATTAAAAAATAAGAATTGATAAGAAGAGATACTTACTGAAGAAAATAGAATATTGATGTACATGTTCATGTCTAACCGCCAACACTGGAAGCACGATGTGTTAATTCACACCGTCCATCAGGAAAAAAAAATGTGTGTTGTTTCGTAATTTTAAAGGTACTTGGACACAGATTTGAAGTTATTATTTTCTCTATGATATTACGACTAATATATTGTAATAGCATTTCACACAAAAATTAGTTAAAAATCTTATTTCGGTTGAAAGATATTGAAATTTCAAATTTTTCGGCGGGTTTGATTGACATATCGTTGCACTCTCACAAATTCAATTTTTTCTAATCCTTAGGAAAAGTGGCAATCTCGTTTTGTATAAATGAAAAATATTAATACTATAATCCAGAAAATTCAGAGTAGACACGTTCGAAAGCAAAACAAACACACAATATATTGTCAGTCCGTGCAGTTGTGGTAAGCAGACCGTGACGATTGAACGCATCCGGTGAATTCCAAATATAAACAATAACAGAACTCGAGCCCTGTTTACAAAAACTTTGTACATAACACGAGTGTGCTCGATTTGCTAAACTCTGCACGCATCTCTTAGTTCAGAAGGACGATAAAAGTTTTAATATTTCTCATTAAAATACATCAAAATTGCCATTTTTCCTAAGGATTAAGAATAAAGTAAAAATTTGTGAAAGTGCAAGGATGTGTCAATCAAATCCGCCAAAAAATTTAAAGTTTTAATAACTTTTAAATGAAATAAGATTTTTCAATTAATTTTTGTGTGAAATGCTATTAAAATATAAAATTCGTGATATTATACAGAAAAAATGAGAAAATATTAACTTCAAAACTGTGTCCAAGTACCTTTAAGTTAAAAAAGTGAAAGTCAGGAAATGGTTTCCCTGTGATTTTGTCCTATTACAAATATTTGAAATAAACTAATTTCTTTTATTTATTAATGCTTTCAATCGAGTACTCAAAGTCTGCATTGATAAATGTAGATGCATTAAATCACTTTATAATCACTTTATCTATGCAGAAGAGAATGGCACCATAAATATTTCAACCGCCTTTATTACAGTGAAATTGATTGTTGATAATCTCATTAAATAATCCTTTCCATTGGGACTGCTTTCATAAGCTTGGGTTGCAGGGACTGCTTTCTGGGACGGCTGGGACCACTCCGGGCTACTGCACTGGGAGCGCGGGGGGGGGGGGACTATCTTGTGACTTCCGTAAGACTGCGAGCGACTGCTCTAGCAGTCCAACAAAACAGTCCGTCCCTGGGACTGGTCTACGACTGCTTTCTGTCAGGTTGGGTCTACAGCTAGTCGGCGCTTCACTTTTTGGAAATACATGAACAAAAGGTCTACAGATAGACTGGCGGTCATTCTGAAAGGCGGGACGACAGACATGTTTATCTCGTCCTCTCCCTTTCCAACTGTTTATTAAGTAGTTTAGAAAAATCTTTGTAGCTTTGAAAAGAAATTAATCTGTATGATATCCATTATATTCATTAGGAATATACAATCATGAAAAATATTTCAGAAATCGATTTTTTAGGCTGGGATAGCATCAAACAGACTTATTCTAGCTCTGGAACCTGAAGCAGCATCAATATACTGTCAAGACATTCCAACTGAGAAACTCAGGAGTGGTGCAGGATTGTGTATTTCAGAAGTAGGGACCCAGTACCTAATCGCCGATATAGGAGGTAAAGTACTTGATTTTTTTTCTTGTAAAGAACTATTGAAAAATACATATACGATTTATACATCATTCAGCTTCTTACCCTTTACTGTGATACATGTATATAGTTTGACTTTTAAATATGTAACATATCAATGAAAAGGATGGAATAACCTAGCTTTTTTAATCTTAAAATAATCTTGAAAAAAAAATCTTGAATTTGAGACACCTCCCAGTCTCTGACAAATACTAAGAAACTCAGCAAGACATTTCTTTCAAAAAGGATTTTTTTGTCGAAAATACGAACATTTATTTTTCATTATTATTTTTTTTTTTTTTGTATTTTGATCAGGATAAACTTTCTTTGAATTTTTTCTCCTTAGACTTAGGGAATGAAATATTTTTCATTATCCACCAAAAAAGTACACAACTAAAGTAATCTTGGTAAAAATGTTATATTCTCATTCATTTACCCTTTGTTCTTCAAAAATAATTCTCCGAGTCGAAGGTTAGAAAAAATGCATGGTGTTTTTTTTTTTTACACAGTCTCTAAAATATACAACAATGACTGATGAAATAATTTGATACACGTGTATCTCATTATACAAGAGAAAAAGAAAGATTCATCACTTATCCTGCTAAAATGTTTTAGAGATTTTGATTGCTTTATGAAAAGCTAAAATTTGTGTTTGTTAAGTTTAGGTGGAACTGGTGATTTTACTGTTCACGAAAAGCTCGATAATGGAAAACTTAAGGATGTGAGCAAGGCAAGTGGTGGAGCATTTGGGGGAATAAATGTCGACAAAATGCTTTTCCAATTTTTTTCTAAACTCTTCGAAGAGGAAGCATTTCAGCAATTAAAATCAGACGAAATGTGCGATTACCTTGATATCTTTAGAGATTTTGAGAAAAAAAAGAGAAAAATTATGTTATAAGATTACCATCATCACTTCTGCAATTTGCATCGAACATTAATCCAGGTTTCAGAAAAAATGCCGAGAGTACCGATTTCAAGGGGCATGTCAATTTTTTGCGCGATAAACTAAAAATTGACTCAACTCTCATGAAGTCATTCTTTAAAGAATCCATACAGAATATAACGACATATATTGAAGGCATTTTGCAAGGTTTTCCTACGGTGAGGCAAATCCTTCTTGTTGGTGGATATGGAGAATGCATTATTTTGCAAATTGATATAAGAAAATGCTTTCCACAACAGGACTTAATCATTCCTCAAGAATGCGAACAAGCAATGGTTAAAGGAGCTGTCCTATTTGGACATGATTCAAATGTTATTTTTGAGCGTAAACTAAGGTATACTTACGGTACAAATTCACACACTAAATTTGTTCCAAGTATTCACTGTGAAGACAGGAAATACGTTGATGATTATGGAATCACGAGATGCAGGGGTTCCTTTTCAACTTTAGTAAAAGCGGGAGAAAAAATAGCATCAAAAGGGCACACCATTTCTAGGGCCATTTTTGCTTTGAGTAAAAACCAGTCGGAATTAGAATACAAGATATTTTACACGGAAAAAACAAATACAATTTATCTGGATGATGATTGCAAATTTCTCGGGAAAGTAATTATACCTCTAACTGGTGATAAGGATACAAATAGAATATGCAATGTTTCCTTTACATTTGGACTTACTGAAATCCGTTGCAAGGTGACAGAAAAGAGTTCGGAAGGGATATTGAGGCAACATTTAAAATGTTGGAGTGAATATAGAATGTCATTTTGAGGATAAATGTAAGAAATGTTGCGAACTTTCAATTTTAAACTCAATGAATAAACAATCAACTTAATGTTTAATAAAGTTACACTTCCTTTGAAAAAAAAAGGAGAAAACGTGACATTGAAAGGTTTAAAACTTGAACAGCATTTAAATCTTGGAAAGCTGTTGCATGATACTCAGGTGACCTATGAGGTCCCTGGGCCTCTTGTTCTTAAAAAAGACATGCATTTAAATAAGCTAGAGTATAAAATGATCATTGTGACTAGTTCTATGGTAATAAAAGTGCGTTTAACATACATGGAGTCTTGCTAATAAAATTTGAATTTGGTGTAAGGACCTTGCTTGCTGATTTTTTAAGTGCTGGTGATTGCAATTATTTTTCAGTGCAAGAGAGATTCATTATTACCTCAATAGAATTTTTCATACAACAATCGACAAATTGCGTTCGCATATCACTCAAAAATGACACCGTTATTATAATTGTGTTATGATTTTTTAGCTATATAAAAGATATTCAAACATTGGAAAGATAAGATAAACTCCGCCGTTGGCATTATTCAACCTACACTCTAGTGGCACATCACAAATTGAGAATTCCAGACAACAGAGATAAATTCTAATCAGTATATTGCATTGAATTACATCACAAAATCAAAACATGGAAGACTACATGTTAAAAGTATATGTATGTATAGGTGGTTTTGCTGCACATCCGTACTACTTTCTGTTTAGCATTGCTTTCTTTTAAAATCACTCCTTTTCTCCTTTTGTTTCTCTGAAATGACAAAACTGGAAAATAATCTCGTTGTGGTTTTCTGCATGTCTGAAATTTAAAGGTGCATAGACATAAATTTGAAGTTGACATTTTTTGTATAAAAGTACGAGTTTCCTTATATAATGTATTATCATTTCACAAGAACATATATTAAAAATTTTGTTTCATCTAAAAGATGTTGAAATTTTAAATTTTTGAATAGATTTGATTGACGCATCCTTGCAATTTCAAAAAAGTTTAATTTTATTTCTAATGCTTTAGAAAGTGGCAATCTCGTTGTGTATTAATGAAAAACATTAAAACTTTAAGCGTGGAATGCCGTTACTTGTAAAAGGGTTTGCTTTCGAACATTTCTACTCTTCTGAATATAATTATTTTTCTGGATTAAAGTTTTTATATTTTTCATTAATACATGTACACAACAAGATACCCTTCCTAAATTCCAATGTTATTGAAATTTTTGTTACTAACATAGTTCTTATTTAAGGACCCCATTGGAAATAACCCTCCCCCCTTTTTTTTTCTAAAAAAAAAGGCCTTTATAGGCATTCCTTAGGTACAATATATCATCTGTATATCATGCAACTTATTTAAGAAATAAGGTATCGGGCTTTATAATGAATTT